AAAATTCTGCTTTACATATTATCTACCAGTTCACCTGCAGTTGCGGTGACACTTACATCGGCAGAACGAATCGGGCCCTGGCACAGCGGATGCCTGAACACATTCCCAAGTGGTTGGTACAATCAATGACGCAACAAAGTCTTAGAGGTCAAACCGATAAGAGAAATTCAGGGTCATCAATCGCAAAACATCTCATGACAACTGGACACATCGTTGACCCACAAATGTCGTTCAAGCCATTATTACGTAACTNATCAGTTAGACTGCCATGGACCTGATTTCCCACCCCAGCCTCTCCCCCGCTCCCCTGACTATTGTCCGTTTGACCACTGTAATTATCAAAACTTGCATGTCTAAATACCAGATTGTTTTACATTGTAGCGACTGAAGATATCAAAAGAAATGTTAACGTCTCGCAGTATTTGTCTTCTTTTGGTTCTGACGAATTGGATTAAAGGGACCCAATTTTTCGAACATCGTTAACAGCTTTGTTTCAGCTGAAAGAAACTACAGCTGATGGCAAACGAACCGGCAAGATTTTCAGAATTTTTTGAAAGCTGCATATAGGATTTGGTTTGTTTTGATCCACTATAATACGTGACAAGTGAACATTCATGAATACGCTCTGCAGTATCTATGAGCACATATATCCTGGTGTCAACACCAAAAGACCTGTTAGTTAACTTTCATGATGAACACAGTGCGGAAATAACAAATCACTGTTTGTTTATTCATCATGTGTGCAACATAAACAAACTTGTTATCTATACTTGGCTCCGGTTAGACCAGAGCATAATCATTTCCGAATAAGGTCGTGCCCTCTACGATAGTCCACAGAATCCGGTAACCATTCTCTCTCTACAATCATGTCTATTTCGTTGTCCCTTGAATGTATACATCTTAAACCGACAGAGAAACCTAGGCGAGTGCTACTCCTACGAGTCAGTGTTGTCTATATGCTGGCTAGTCTGTGACCATGTCATTATCATGGTCTTAGTAGCTGGGGCCATGAACTTGAGTGATGTGCACCCCAAGGTCAGGAGTCAAAAGCCTCATTCACCAGGCGACCGTCAGTCATCGTGCATTTGGAATACCCATGTACAGTTTATTTGCTTGGTTCAGGATTATTCAGATTCAGTCGGACGGGGATGAAGATTTTGGGTGAGCCAAACAGAAAGTGGTCCTAGGTGACGTTATTTCAAGAAGTCATCATTGTCAAACTCTTTGAGGGTGTACATTCTTACAGTGCATTGACGCTAGTTTTCACTCTCATATGGTATTTCGTGTCCAAGGCTTTATGTGCGAACATGCCCCCAGAGAAACCATAAACATTGATATGTACAGTAACTCGTGTTTCTTGAGGTCCAATAAAACCAAAGTTGCACGATCTGAGAGTTTACCAATGATATTACGTATTAGTTTTGAAACAAATTAGAACTGAATTCATCGGCCTAAAATACGTACAGTTTTCGTCTCGTTTTAGAAGAGATGAAATAGTTCATTGAGGAATTTTAAGCAGAAAAATTCAGAAAACACTCACACTTACATCACATCTAATCAACGGTTATTTATCATTCTAGATTTCATCAGTGAACTGTGCAGCAAGCCTATTTTGATTGAGTTACATTTCATGCTCATGAATGCACATTAATTCTGCACATCCTTTCGAGCATTTGGCTAAGAATTTGCTATATCGGCTGCCCCGATCAGCCGTCTCTGTATGCATAACAGTTCACCTGCTCCTGTAGAACAAGTTACATTGGTTCTCTCAGTCAGCGATTGACCAGATGGATCCGAAAATATCATCCAGTCTGGTTGAGGAATTAACTAACACGAACGATCCGTGTCGCGATTCTAGGTCAACACAGGGTATTGTGTAGATGTTAAAAGACTGTTCACAGAACTCCGATACACGTGCCAAGATAACTGAGGCTACCAACATCTGAAGTGATGACTATTCTAATATCTTCCCTTGGACTTTTGAAACACATGCGGATGACTCATCATCTGAGGTTGCCCTCACTCGACAACATGACACAATCGAACTTTGTTCAGTATAACAGAACGAATCAGTTACGCAACGAGAACGGTGTAACTGCCTAACTGAAAACAATTTGCGATTCCCCTCCCAACTCAATGTCATATTGAAACTTATCGCTGATGGCCATTTTTCATCCTAAAAATACAGAAGCTTGAATTACATAACGAAAAAGGATTCTTCGCTTCGTTGACTTTTGAACGGCAAGGATGTGTGTGATTGTGTGTACGTGAGTAAAAAGTAACATTCAGTAACAGAAGTTATATCTTACCGTGTCCAATGAAAATAGGTTAGCAGTATTCAAAACAGACATCGCAAAGTTTATTTTAAAATTTTTTGTTTAACGTTCTTGAGAAAAAAGTATGTGTTGACTACCGGCCGCAAATGGGAGTACGGTTGAACTGGCTGCCAATATTTTACCCAAAAGTCCGATGTACGTTCAACCGTGAAGCTTCGGTTGGCATCGAGGTCATATAATCCCAGAGGAAAATCGGTTTCTGGATTGATAGGACTCAGTGGATCTTGTATTTCCACTGGAGCGATCATATCTGAAGTGAAGCGTTGTGTATCCCGTTCTTCCTTGTTCCCTGTCGTCCACATCTCAGTGTCGAATGCACCCATATCACTGTCTGTGTAGTCCTCATCCTCTTCTTCGTCATCTTTCCACTCATTGGTGTATTCCGAACCCTCCCAATGAATTGGTTCTGTGGAAAAATCCAGTGCTGGTCTAGTGGGTGAATCATTTAATAGGTCCGACCGATTCCCTGTTTTGGGTACGCGTCGAATGAGAACTTCTTCGTGCAATGGCACTGGGTTTGTCGTGTCTTGAGCGCAATCGGATTGAACGGTTTGTATAAACTCAGCCAAAATCTTTGGCAGAAGTTCAAACAACTTGTCATTGCTCACAGTCGCGTCACTTAACGGGATAAGCCATTCACCGGGAACCGCAACATTGGATTCACTGTGGTTCCGTTGGTTTGAGAGGCGAAGTTTGAGACGAGAAAGAAGGCAAACGTTCTCAAGGTGCAATAAATATTCTTGGGAGGGGGGGGGGTACACGTTAGACTACCAATAAAAGCTGCGATTTTTCAGTGCTTGTAGTGATCAGTAATCGACAAAGATGTGTCTCAAAGGATACGCTTCAGATACTGGTAAATGGTCGTTGCAAATATATAGATTTAGGCCTTTGAGTTATCATACATTCCGAGTTGATATAAACCAACACATGAGGTTTGAATGCAGTTGGATGCTACCGAAATCAAAGGCTATCGAACGTTTCTAGTGGTCAGCTTAGGAAATCAGTTTAAGGAAATCACCAGTAAACAAAAACCAATAAAATAATTTGTGTAGTTGATTTTCATTCGCAATCCGACAGAAATTTTGTCCTTCGGTACAGATGAGTAAAGCATCTGATTGGTGGCCTTTTTCAATCAAGGTTAAACTTCTGATGACCTAAACTGATGCTAACTGATTACTGACCCTAAACATACCCACAAAAGTAAGACCGTAGAAATTTGTTTGAGGTCACTTTTATTTTGTCCATAAGAACCCCCGAAGAAATAGCGCGCATTGAATTCGCTCGAGCTTATTAGATGCCTACAGTCATTAGTTGACCTTTTTGTCGAACTATTTTGTATTGATTATACAATATCGTTATAACTGACGATCACTCAGTGCGCATTTTTCATCAGGCAGTTCAGTTCGTTTTGATATGATTCATTGACATAAAACTTGATGATAACTAAAGGATCATATCACTTAAAACTATACTATTTTCCGTATGTCCGTTTATCCGAAATCGTTAACGGCCAATATCTAGATAGAATTGGGGCTTACTCGGAAGGATTCACACTTTTTCTTCCATTTTGTTTGAAGGCGTTTCAAATATAAATACCTAAATAATGTTTAAATTTGACCATATCCTTCCCAAGGTAAGATATTCCGATATCAACTTAAGATATCCAGTTGCTTCTCAAATGATGTCGTACGAAGCAAACCGTTGAGCATTGGGAGCAAGGAGATTACCGAAACGAGGGCCAGGCTATCGATCACTGGACTAAATATGACATTCTCACGTCCACAATCACTCCCTTATGCGACACACGGCACGCAGTTTATTTAACTTTGTGAAGTTGAGAGGGGATCACAATTAGGGCTGAATTTCGGCCATCATCGTGTCCCGTTAATTGGGCAAGCTAGTTGATTCGAAGGCTCGTCGATGTGCTACATCAGATAACGACCACGTAGTAACAGAATATCCAAACTGATATCGCGACATCTTATACTAACGAAAAACAACAGCAAAAACGTGAAAATGATTTATCTAAAAATCTTTGGCCTCAAGAAGAAGAAAAGACCGTAATAAGTTAAATCTGAAATATATTTTTCCCGCTTAGAATAACTAAAGGTTTTACTTGATTGGCATTCATTGTATGGCAAATCTTCTCTATCAAATGAAAGTTATCATTTGATAAATCACCGCAGAAAGCAAGTTTGACAGAAAAACGCGACTAGTGCCTGTCGCTCTATACAATTTGGATGTATCAACATATCGACACACCCAGTGCTGGCTTCATTAACGATTTTTACAGAACCGCTGTGCAACTGGCTGAAGGAACTTGGGTTTGCGTGAGGTGTTTTGTACAAAAGCAAAAAAGCCTTGTCAGTTTGCAGTTGCCCCAGTGATTCCAAAAGTAAACGAATGCGTTCAACTGATAAATTTAGTGGCAACAGGTGTGAACATACAAATAGCTTCAGGGAGTTGGACGTCATAAAATGAGCTTTTTAATCAACTTACATAGTATCACATAGGAGGTTGCTTTATGGGTAAAATAAACCAAGTTTATCTTAGTGAACAGCAAGATTCATTTGTTGATATAATTTTTCAACACTATGCTCGACAGGAATCTGCGAGTGGGACGTGGTATCTTCAATTCCGTCACAGAAAACCAATTGTAAACCAGTGAAACATGAATTATTTTGTAATACGTTGTGCTTGGTATAAGTGCAATCTCATCACACTCAACACAAACTTCAGTTTTGGACAGCTTTGGGGACAGCTGGGTTAATTTTACAAAACAGCACAACTGCTTTCGCAGCTCTGTAAACGCATCGGAGGTATTAGTTTAGGCTCGAGCAGAACAGTACCAGATAACAAACCAGCTTCTCGTTACTCTTCCATTTCTTTGCAACATTCATAGTGAATACAT